TCCTGCCGCCGAAGAATTTCAACGTCCTGAACCCGCGCCTCAGGGCCCAGTCGACGCCGACGAGGACGACAAGCAGTCCGACAGTTCCGGATCGGACATGATTCGGGAGTGGGCTCAGATTGCGGAGGAGCAGGCGCGCCAGGAGACCATGGCTCGCCGCCCACTGGACACCGAGAACCAGCGCGGTACCAAAACGCAGCGCCAAGTTCGACAAGAGAACGCACCAGTGGCACTGCAGCGTGACCGCCAGCAAGAAAGGAGCTACTGAACGACCTGCCTCAGTGCTTCAAGAAGCCGAGGGACACGAACAAGGTCGACCTTTACCTGGACAACTACTTCCAGAAGCACGCGGACAAGCTCTACGCTAGTACACGACTCCGTGAGGCACTGCTCACGGGGAACGCCACCGCCAAGGAGCTCAAGTACGACACGTTGAGCGCCACCGAGAAGAAGAACATGGACGCCGCCATGAAGACCGAGTGGTCCAAGTGGACGGAGTTCGGCGCCTACAAGAAGCTCCCGCCCAAGGGGCTGAAGGAGCTCCTGCGGCGCAACCCTGGCATTCGCCCTGTGGGCACGCGCTGGGTGCTGACCAGCAAGGGCCAGAACGCCACGAAGGCTCGCCTGGTCGCGCAGGGCTGCCAGGAGGACAAGTCGCATATCAGGACGGACGCACCTACGGGATCCAGGGACGCGCTGTACCTGACCCTTGCTGCCGCAGCCCAGAAGGGCTGGGATCTCTCGTCCTACGACGCGATGACGGCCTACCTGCAGTCGGGTAACATCGAGAGGCTGCTGCTCCTGCGCATGCCGGCCAAGAACCCGCCGCCGGGGACTCAGCCCGGCGAGATCGCCATGGCCACAGGCGCGATCTACGGGACGCGCGACGCCGGGAGGCAGTGGTACCTCTACGCGCAGAAGGTCTTCGCCGAGCACGGCCTTGTGGAGAGCAAGCTCGAGAAGGGCCTCTACTACTTCTACGACGAAGGTGGGCTCGCCGCTGTGGTCCACTCTCATGTGGACGATTTCCTGATCGCCCAGCGCAGCAACTCCACGAAGTGGAAGGCTGCCATCGCCTCGCTGGGGAAGAAGTTGCACCTCAAGCCGGTCGAAGGGGTCATCAAGTACTGCGGACGCACCATCACCAAGCTCGACGACGAGTTCCGCGTGGCCCAGGCCACCGCTGCAGCGCAGGTGGACTTTGTCGACCTGAGGGCCACCGAGGGCCGAGGTGCCGAGGACCGGCTCACCGCCACCGAGGTGACGAGCTACCGCCACACGCTCGGGCAGCTGTTGTGGCTAGCGGTGCAGACCCGGGTAGACATAGCCTGCCCGGTGAGCTTCGCAGCTCGCCGCACCAACGTCGCCACCGTGGCCGACGCGAAGACGCTCAACAAGACGGTTGCCTACGTGCACTCCACCGCGAACTTCGATCGTGCTCAAGCGCAAGCTCGTCGACCTGAAGACGGCCATCACCGCGTGCTTCAGCGACGCCGCGTTCGCCAACGTGGACGGCGTCAAGAGCCAGTGGGGCATGGCGATGGGGCTCACCCACCGCCCGCGCGACGTCGTCGGTGGTCGCTACGACCTGTGTCTGCCAGTCGCCTGGCACTCCGGCACGGTCAAAAGGTCGGTGAAGTCGACCCTCGCCGCCGAGGGCAACGCCACCCTCGAAGGATCGGAGACCAACATTTGGTTCCGACAGCTGCTCACCGAGGCCTACAACCCCAAGACGGCGCTCAAGCAGATTAACGTGCTCGCCGACAAGCGCCCGGGGGAGATCTACAGCGACAGCAAGGGCCTCGCGTCGCACATCCAGTCCGATGTGGGCCAGTCTACGGACAAGCGGTTCCGCATCGTCGCCTCCATGATCAAGGAGGCCGTGCATCCCAACAGCGCGCTCAAGCTCAGTTGGATCCCGACCTGGGCCATGGTCGCGGACGCCCTGACGAAGGCCATGGAGGCCGGCGTCCTGCTGTCGTTCTTCGGGGCCCGCAAGCACACCTACGGGACCCGGCAGCCGCGCGCCGCCATGCTCGCCTCGGCGCTGTTCACCTGCCTTGGCAAGGTCAAGGGACAGCCAACGCCTACGCCGACGACGCCGGACCTCAGCTACTACCTGTGCCTGCTGACGTTCGCGCTGTTCTACGGCATGGCCATCGGGTTCGGCATCTTCATGATGTTGTGGACGATCACGAGGCAGAACCACGCGATTGCCACCGAGCAGAGCGTCGCCGAGGCCAAGGCCATGGGCGAGCACCCTGGCTGGGACGGCCGCCTACTGGGCCGGCGCCGCAACACACCGACGATCCCGGAGGACCGCGACTATGACGGCGATGTCATCATGCAGCCCCGTGGAGGCGCAAGCAGTGCGAGTTCAGCGACATCGGCGTCTGGCGTGTCTTTCGGACACCATCCATCGCAGCCATCAAGTCCAGCATTTCCAGCACTGCAGCAGCCGCCGATGCCGCCAACACCGCCACCTTCCAGTGCATCACCATCACCGCGCACGGCAACATCGACCCCGGGATCGGGACGATCGAGGTCAGCAAGGGCCTCAGGCAGCTCAGGCAGCTCGGCACCTACATCGCCAAGCATCGTTTCCGTGACGAGCTCATCGAGTGTGATCAGCGCCAGTGGAGTCCAGAAGCACGGGTCGTCGCCTACGGTTGAGCCCAGCGACATGCTTGATTGCATCAGCAAGCGGCCCGACTTCGTGGTCGGCCACAACCTGCACAGCGTATACATCACCTGCAAGAGCTGCAGGAAGCACGCGTCCTGGTTGACCCGTTGCTATCGCAACAGCAACCCGGACTTCACGATCTTCCCGGAGGGCGTGATGCACGACCTCATGGGTCGATGGCGCAAGATCACAGGCCGAGAGTGCGGGCGAGGATCAGATCTGACGGACAAGCCGATGAAGCCCAAGAAGGGCGACTGATCCCTGCTGCTGCCCAGACTGTCGCGGTTTTTCATCGCGACCTTGCTTACGTAAGTCCGCATTGCTGTTTCAGATTTCACACCTGGTGGAAAGATTTACACGTAAGTCCGCATTGCTGTTTCAGATTTCACACCTGGTGGAAAGATTTACACGTAAATCCGCATTTCAGAAACTTCAGTTCAGTGTGCACAGTTTTTTGATGTGATGACGATCACACCCATTCAGATGGCTCTTTTGAGTTCTGTCGCTTCGCGATCGGACTCTAGCCACGCCTTGTCTCTGATTATAGCGCCGGCGGCGCTGAGAGCTGTGAATACCCTGCAGGTCGCGTGAAGCGCATCCGCTTAAGTGCCCCGTGGGCTGCCTGCGATTGCAAGCCGTGTCGAGCCGTTTGCTCGCCTTCTGCCAGCGCGCCTGGCCTCCGCCTAACGAAGTTAGCGCCAGGCTTATATGCCCGGCTGCTCATGGCGCATCGTGCGCCCGCCCGCTGCTTCTGAGCACCGTGCAGGAGGAGTGTGATTCCAGAAAACTCGCTGCTCTTCTCACTCGCCCTCTGCTGCTGCTGCTCAGCTGTCCACGGTCTCTCTGCCGCCGCCCGTTTTGGCTCTAATTATTTGAAGGCCCTTGGCCGATTGAGCTACGTCCTCTGCCGCGCAGAGCGAGAGAAAAACATTATCAGCGATAATATTCCATATCACACCCGTGCTGTTCCTGAAAAGCATTGTAGCAGTCGGTGTGTCTCTGAACGCCTACGGCATTTGGGGTGCTCGAAAATAGGTGCCGTCCTCAAGGCATAGGAATTGATCCCTGGACCTCGGCGGAAGGCCCGCTGAAGCAAAAGTGGTTGCGCCGGCGGAAGTCGGCAGAACACAGCCAACGCGCATAGCGAGGACGCGCGCCTTCATCTAGGGTGCCCTTGTGTCCTTACCTCTGCGGCCCGTCCTTTGCCGTTTTCATTGGTCGGCCGCCGCCCAAAAAGTCCAAACGTCGGCATCAAAGGGTCTTGCGTCCTTCCCACCCGTCCTTAATACACATTTTGATTGTATTTGCGGAAGTCTTCACCGGTACCATCAGTACTGTTCATAACCATTCGCACAGCAATGTTATTACCACCATGAAGCGTATTGGATTTGTTGTTATTACCACTACTTTTACTAACCCGCGCATCCTGTAGGACGAGCGGGCAAGAAGAAGTTGCGAACGAGCGATACCTGCATTTGTGGGTTTGCTGCGGCGGAGGTTGGCGAGGCAAAAGTTTCCCCCGCCAAGAGAGAGGTCCACGCTGGGGCACCAAGGATGTCCAGAGTCGGACACATGTGCAGTCGGCATCTGCAATCTTTCATGACATAACGATCGCTCTGCGAACATGACCCCAAAGGGCAAATTCTATGACCACTGCACGGGCCCATACGCGGCACTTGACAATGTCATCAAATGTCGGGGCAGTGCGCACAGCAGCTCGACTTACAGGACCACGCGGCGCCGCACGTGGCACCGCACGGCACCAGGCATCAAGTTCCAGGTAACCCCAGGAAGTTTGTAGTTTTGAGGACCCCATGTTTCTCTCGGCGGTGAATGCAGTCGGTATATTCCTCCTGCTTCTCTTCCTCCTTCGCAGTCGCAGTCGGTATCGTGGTCGTAGTCGTAATCGTAGTCGTAGTAGTTATCGTCGCCATTGTTATGCGGCGGGTGCCGCGGAGAAATAGCTAGTTTCTACAATTGGTTGGGCACAAGTCCGCCAATAAGGGCGTCGAAAAGATATGTAGTTTCCACGATTGGGAGGCTCTAAAGACCTATTGCGGTTGGAGGCTTCGAAGGTGCGTTTGTTGGCACCAGTGGTAAACGTCCTTTCCTCTGTTCCCGTTCTTCCCGTTAGTGTACCCTCCGCACTTCTTTGTTGTTTCTTTCGTCACCGTCGCGCCTATCCGTCCCAGCTTTGCAATTATGCTTGGTCGGCCAATGCGGGGCAGTCGGGTTCATGATTGCAGCCAGAAGGTGCTCGTGTCAAGCAAGAGGCAAAGGTGCACATTGACGATGCGCATGTACATGGGGAGGGGAGGCGTGCAGGCCCTCCGTGGCAGCAGTGACCGTTCAGGAGAGCAGCGGTGAGTTGCCTTTAAGATCAAGGAGGAGGATGCTGCTGCTGATGATACTGCTGATGATGTTGAGGACGACGATCACGATGATGATGCCGATGTGGATGTCGATGCGGCTGCCGATGATGCGGATGATGATGTTGGTTATATTGCTGTTGTTACCGCTACTGATGACAATGATCATGCTGATGATGGTGATCAGGACGAAGACGACGACGATGATGACGATAGTGGTAATGATGGTGATGTTGATGTTGATGGTGATGATGCTGATGATGATGATGATGGCGATGGCGACGGTGTTGATGATGATGATGATGATGGTGATGATGATGATGATGATGATGATGATGGTGGTGGTGATGGTGATGGTGATGGTGATGGTGATGGTGAGGGTGAGGGTGAGGGTGAGGGTGAGGGTGAGGGTGAGGGTGAGGGTGGTGGTGATGGTGATGGTGATGATGATGGTGATGATGATGTTGATGATGACGACGATGATGGTGATGATGTTGATGACGATGACGATGCCGATGCTGATGCTGACTGATGCCGCTGCGGCTGATGATGATGAGGACGATGAGGCGATGGGGATGGGGAGGTGGAGGGGGAGACGGGGAGGGGGGAGGAGAAGACCGAATGTTGAAGGGGGGGCCACCCCGCTCCTGCCTCCTCTACCTCCCCCCTCCCCCGTCGACCGTTGTCTTGCCCCCTACCGCGACGAAGACAACGCATGGCCGCCTGCGATACTTAGGGTTCGTCTGGGGTTGTCTTGTTCGGGTGCCTTCTGGGGGGCCTTGGTTACCACAGATGGATACGCCTTGAAATTATGGTCAGGCTTCGCTCTAGGATAGGTCTGGACTCGACCTTGAGCGGAGAGGATGGTGGAGGAGCCAGAGCGAAGACGAGAGGGAGGGAGGGCGAGGAAAGAAGTCTTTTTCCTGGTAAACTGGGTCTTTCCCGGGTAAGCTGATCAATTCCCCGGCGTGAGTTCCAGAGTAGTTCTCCAGAGGCTTCTGGAGAATTCTTGAGAGGCCTCCTCAGAAGCGCCTTGGGCCTCCTTGAGAGGCCTCTTGGGCTTCCCGAGACGCCCCTTGGGCGTCCCGAGAAGCCCATAGGGCGTCCCGAGAGGCTTCTTGGGCGTCCCGAGAAGCCTCTTTGACGCCTCTTGGGCGTCCCGAGAGGCCCCATTGGGCGTCCCTAGAAGCCTAGTGGACGTCCCGAGAATCATCTTGGCCTCCCGAGAGGCCTCTTGGGCCTCCCGAGAAGCCTCTTGGGCCTCCCGAGAGGCCTGCCTCTTGGGCCTCCCGAGAGGCCTCTTGGGCCTTCCGAGAGGCTTCCTGGGCCTCCCGATAAGCGTCTTGGACCTCCCGAGAGGCGTCTTGGGCCTCCCGAATGGCGTCTTGGGCCTCCCGAGAGGCTTCTTGGGCCTCCTGAGAGGCCTCTCGGCCGGTTGGTTGTTGGTTGGTTGGTTGATTGGATAGATAAACATGTATACATGTTTGTATACATTCGTGCAGATACTTCGCCGTGACAAAAGTGTCCTTTGAAAGGCAGAAAACCGAAATCACCGAATGAGGACCGTAGGGACGACCCCGGGATAATTGTTTCCCATGTGAAAAATCGATGGGATCATTCGGCCGGGATCTGGGAGAGGCCGGGATAAATATTTTTTACGTAAAAAAAAACCAATGGGAAAAGTTCGGTCCAGGATCTAAAATATATTATTATTAGTATTATTATTACCATTATTAAGCCCCAGGACCCCTGGGGGTAATTATCCCGCCCGTGGCAGAGGCCCGAAAACCTCTTCTTGTTAGGATTACAAGGGGGGCAGGGGGTGGCTGATGCCATTTTGGCACGGCCACGGCTCCTCCAAATTTCAAAGGAACTTTCTTCACGCCGCTGTATGCATGCATAGCTACCTACATAACATAACATACCATGCCATGCCATACCACACCACACCACACCATACCGTACCATACATACATACATACATACATACATACATACATACATACAGACATACAGGCATGCATGCATGCATGCATGCATGCATGCATGTATGCATACTTTCACGCATGCATACATGCGAACGGGTACATGAATATAGACATACATACATGCATGCATACATACATGCATGCATGTATATGTGTGTATGTATGTATTTATACATATATACATATATATATATATATATGTATATCCCTGTGGGAGAGGCCGGGGCCCCAGGACAGGTGCCTCGACCCCCCATGGCGGGACGGGGGGGGGCCTGGAGCCTCCCTGGAGCAGCCCAGGCGGCCCAAGAGTGCCCCAAGAGCGCTCCACGACAGGCCCAGCAGGCTCCAAGAGGCCCAAGAGGGCGCCAAGAGGGCCCCAAGATGCCCAAGATAAGCCCAAGACGGCCAAAGAGGCCCCCAAGACGCTCCAAGAGGCCTCCAAGAGGCCCCCCCAGAGGGCCCCAAGAAGCCAAAATCGTTTATTTTACAAAGGTTTTGGACACATTTTGCCTTTCCCGCTTTTTCAGCTTTCCGGCGCTCCACGACGGCTCAAAGGCCCCCCGCGGACGCCCCAAGACAGCCCAAGAGGCCTCCAAGAGGGGCTCAAGACGGCTCTGGAGGGCCCCAAGACGGCCCAAGACGCGCCCAAGACGGGCGAAGAGAGGCCCAAGACGGCCCCAAGAGGGCCCCAAGAGGGGAACCGCGAACCAGAAATTCGAGCCTCCCGCCTCCACAGGGCCCCGGGAGGCCCCAAAGGGGCCCGAAGAGGCCCCAGGAGACTCCCAAGAGGCACCCAGGAGGCCCGGTGCCCGAAAACAGCTGCCCCGACCCTCCATGAGGGTACTGGGGCCCATGTTCCTTGTGTTTTTGCAGGGTTTCCGCGTCCTGGGCCTCGGAGGCCGCCGCCTCCGACCCCCCATGGGAGGACGGGGCGGCCGGGGAGGTCCAAAATAGTCCAGGAGGGCCTCCACGCAGAGGCTCCCAAGACGGCCCAAGCGGGCCCCGAGTCGCCGAAAGACCGCTACGGGACGCCCAAGATAGGTTACCCAACAATTTTGGCCTTCCAGCTTTTCCGGCTGTCCGACGTTCCAAGACGGCTCAATAGGCCCCCAAGAGCGCCCCAAAACGGCCCAAGAGGGCCCCAAGACGGCCCCAGAGGCGTCCAAGACAGTCCAAGAGAGCTCCAAGACGGCCCCAAGATGCGCCCCAAACGGGGACCACGATTCCAAAATTCGACCCTCCCGCTTGAAGAGTGCCCCAGGAGGCCCCAAGGAGCCCCCAAGAGGCCCCAGGAGGCCCCCAAGAGGCACCCAGGAGGCCCAAACGAGGCCTAAAGAGGCCACAAAACAGCCCCGAGGAGGCCCCACAACGGTCCCAAAACGGCTACCGAGAAGCTGCGGAGCTGCCTTCACGACGTCCCCGACAGGCCAGCCTCGAGATCCAAACCAACACCCATGAGGCCTCTGACCCACCACCCAGGGCACGGTGGCGGGAGCAGGGACAGCACTTGTGCCCTTCCGGAACACGCTGCAGGAGGAGGAAGATCAGGAGGAGAGAGAAAGCTGGAGTGGGAGGAGGTGGAGGGGACGAGGCGGAGGAGGAAGAGGCCTCCAAGACAGCTCCAAGACAGCCGAAGAGGCTTCCAAGAGGGCCCTGGGCGGCCCACGAGGGCCCCAAGGCGGGGCCTGAGGCGCCCAAGACGGCCCGAGAGGGCCCCAAGACGGCCCCAAGAGAGACCCAAGAAGGGAAACACGAACCGAAAATCCGAGCTTTCTACCCCGAGAGGGTCTCGGGAAGTCCCAAGAGGCCCCCAATCGGATCCAAGAGGCCCCCAAGAAGCTCCCAAGAGGGCCGACGAGGTTCCAAGAGATCTCCCAAGGTGGCCCCAAGAGGCACACCTTATTGTTTCACGATTGGGCTTTGACGGGATTAAAACGTTTCTGCCTTTTGGCATCCCGATGTTCCAAGACGGCCCAAGAGGCATCCAATACCGCTCCCATATAAAGGAAGAGGCCTCCAAGAGGGCCCCAAGACGGCCCATGAGGGCCCCGAGACGGTGCTTGAGGCGCCCAAGACGGCCCGAGAGGGCCCCAAAGAGCCCCAAGAGAGGCCCAAGAAGGGGAACGCGACCGAACAGCAGAGCGTTCCCCCCCCAAAGGCCCACAGGAGGCCGCAAGAGGCCCCCAAGTAGTCCGACGAGGTCCCAAAAAGCTTCCCGAGTGCCCAAAAGGCCCCTATGAGACGTCCAAGAGGCGTTAAAGTAGCCCAACAGTGCCCTCGATGCGTCCAAACTGCTTCCAGGAGGCCCCCGGGAGGTTTCCGGATTGCCTCAATGTGGCCACAGGTGGCCTGAAGTCGGGCCTCCACGCAGACAAGACGGCCAATGCCGGCTTCATATTGCAGAACCGATGCCCCCAAGGGACCCTCAGACGCCCCCCCAAGAGGCACCCAAGAGGTGCCTCCAACAGCCAGTTGACGAAGCATGCGGAACACCCCAGAAGCTCCCCAGATGCCGTCGCGCGCCTGTGCTTGATAGCGTTGTCCAAGGTCGTCCAGCGCCCCCCCGGCCTGGGCTAGAACCTGAGCGCGCGCGAAGCGCGCGCGATGGTTCTATTGGGTCCCAGTCCCTTGGGGGCATCGGTTCTGCAATCTGAAGCCGTCATTGGCCGTCTTGGCTGCGTGGAGGCCCGACTTGAGGCCACCTGCGGCCAGATTGAGGCAATCCGGATTGGACGTCTCCCAGGGGCCTTTTGGGCCCTCGGGGAGCTTTTGGGGTCCTCGTCGGACCACTTTGGGGCCTCTTGCAGCCTCCTGTGGGCCTTGTGGGGGGACCGCTCTGCTGTTGGGTCGCGTTCCCCTTCTTGGGCCTCTCTTGGGGCTCTTGGGGCCCTCTCGGGCCGTCTTGGGCGCCTCAAGCACCGTCTTGGGGCCCTCGCGGGCCGTCTTGGGGCCCTCTTGGAGGCCTCTTCCTCTATATGGGAGCGGTATTGGAAGCCTCTTGGGCCGTCTT